GTTGGTTAGCCGTTAGCGGTGCTGCTAACGTTACTAGCTCTCCTCTGATTGGTTGTTTACAATGAAACATTATCAGAGATCAGAGACTACAAACACATGTTCTACTGAGTCAGTACAACTTTATTTTATTTACACTGTGATGGTTAACGTTAAAACTTTATTTACACTCTGATGGTTAACATTACACTGTGAGGGGGTCAGTACGGATCACAGATCCACTACGGATCCGCTACATCACTACTAGACAGGAAGTGGAGGATTAAAATCGTTCTGATCCGTTTGTCTCAGGGACTGCGTACCAAGCGGCCGGCCCTTCCACCTCTACAGACTTCTGCTTCAGTACCACGAGCCGGAGCTCTGCTCCTTCCTGGACACCAAAAAGATCACACCCGACTCCTACGCCATCAACTGGGTTTGTTCCGTCGTCATAGTTCCGGCCTCTCCGAGTCATTTCTGAACTGCGTCTGAACTCGAGTGTCTGAGCTTCTGTTTCCTCCAACAGATGGGAAGTCTGTTTTCCAGCCACTGCCCCCCCGATGTCACCCAGGCCTTGTGGGACTGCTACTTCCGGCAGGCCGACCCCTTCCTCATCTTCTTCCTCATGCTCATCATCCTCGTCAACGCCAAGTAGGCATCCGCTACTGAGCGCTAGCTCGCTACGTGATCGTAGGGAGGAACCGTACATGTGAATCATGACTCGTCTCTGTTTGATTTTCCCTTAGAGAGGCCATTCTTTCACAAGAAGGAGACGGCAGAGAGGACATCATCAGTAAGTCTGTCATTTCTTTGAGGGTTTGTTGTATCTAGTGACGGGTATCGTGAGGATCTTATCATCACTAGTACTCTCATCGATGCTCTTATTGGTTCTTTTTGATTATTTTGGGAGGAAAAAAAAGACAATTAATGAAAAAATAATACACATTTCTTTATTACATCTTGTATATAAACAATTAGTCCCCTTTCGGGGGGCGTCCCTCTTCATATCTCGTGTTAAACGAGACTTTCTTTGTCACAGAAATGCTGGAAGAGTCTCCTTCTCATCTGGAATCGGAGGACGTTGAAGATTTGTTTTCTCTGGCTCAGCATTACCAGAGTAAGACCCCTCTGTCTCTCAGAAAGGTAAATGTCTTTGTTTGTCTTTGTTTGTGTCAGA